CAAACGAATTTCCCTAATAACTTAGAAGTCAATTATTTTCCAGCAAGTAAAGAGATGAGTAAACATCAAGGTTAAAAATTCAATGATGCTAGTGTGCAAGGAAAGTAGTCCAACTGTTGTAGTACATGTATACACATTTAGGTGATGGGTGGAATATCATGCTGAGGACGAAGTCCATGAAGACAATTGATCCAAAAGTCCAAGCTTTTCTAAATACTAATGGTGGTTATTTCCCTTCCCGGAAAATTTTATTTTATTTTTTACATCTAGTGTTCTAGCTGGACCAAATTGTACATTATGTCCCTAGGCCAGAACACCAGGATTTGTTTGACCCTAAAACTCTTGAATCATCTCTATTCCTCTCTAAAATAACAATAGTATATTTTTGAAAAATTGAGTTGGAGATAAAATTGATTTGGGAGATAAAAAGTGCCTTGAATGACGTCCCACGATGGATGATTAGATGTCGAGGCCCAAAGGTCCTTTTTTTTGTTTTTTTTTCTTTTTTCTTTTATTCTTTTTGAAATCGGTCACAAGAATGAACTGAAGATGATTTGATCAAGTTTAGCAATAATCACCCTAACAAGGTGTTTGGGACCACCAAATACGTGGCAATCAAATAATGCACATCACTACAAAAATATGCCATACAAATCACAATAATATGCAAGCTATTTTCATACTTGATTTACATGATGCTTGAGTGGTCCTCAAAGTCAACTGAAGAAGCATTACCAGGGCCCCTGTCCACTATTTATAAGGGTTTTTCTCCTTAATGTAGCATTTTTTTATTCCATCGATGTAATACTCCGTGATGTAGTCGTTCTTATGTTCTTCATTCATGGACATCTTTTCAACTAATGTCTTCTATTTTTCATGTTCCATAAGAAAAAAAAATGACATTATTTTGTTCAAGAGCATCTTTTCGGCATATGCCTTGCAAAAGTTGTTATGGCCTTGTGAGTTAGTGAATGGCTCATATATCCGAGAATGGGCTCAAGCAATGGTTTAAAAAACGGATCGGTGACCCGGATCGGGCTTCCAAAAAACCGATCCGGATCGGCGAATC